AAAAAGCTTATCTATAAAGCTAATTTTCGTTTAACGAGAGTTATGAATTTATTCAGTGTTAATTCTCGAATTTCGCTTAAAAACAAATACAATTTGCATATGGAGTGGTTGGTCGTACGCTTAAATTTGTTCTGTTTCAAGTATTATACTGGCACCATTTGTTTTAAAATCGTTCATATTTTTTGAACATACAACAAGGCTTCAAGAATATATTGACCAGATAGTCATATAATTTAATTACTTAAACTTATTCCGTACAGTCGGTACGGAATAGGTTTAATAATTGCAAAAGTAGTTCCGTTTTAAGAAATAAAAAAAGTATAAAGTATAATAAACGGAACCGAACCGTTTATTTAATTTTTGAGACATGTTGTAATTAGAAAACCCAATTCAACAAATCTAACTAATCTCAATAAGTTATTACTCCATAATGGTATGAATTGTATTACAAAAACAAACTCGAATATGAAAGCATAAGAATGCTTTTAATTATTTATATCGTGCATGTACATATAATACGTAATAATAATAATAACAATAGAAATATTCGAAATAAACAAAATCGTAAGGAACAGAATATTTTAGAATAAGGAATACCAGGATTTGTCCAGTATTATCGTTTACAAAAGCCTTATTCAAGCAACACAAGTTAAAGTAGAACACTTTGTTCGGCTGTTTCAGCAGTTCGCAGGTCGTTAGTGTCAGGTGGATTTATTGTGTTCCAATCGCTGACGCAAAGCTTCCTTCTATACAGTAGATGTAGCAATCGAGTTGCAACATTTGATTGTTTGAGGTCCATAACCTGCACACTGCATTGCTTTGTTTGTTTCATATTCTGTTTTACATTTTTGTTTTCATGTATTAATCTTCCAAATTATGTATTTACATGGTTAAATATGGCTACAATTATTTCTATCAAGACAATATATATCGTTAAAATATCATAAAAAAAGATAATTGAGATAAGATTTCTTAAATTCTAATTCTAAAAGAATCTATCCTCAATAAGGAAAATTATGAATATACTTTGTACAAAGGTCCAATTTTTTATTTAACATTTTCTCCTTCCGTCAACGTTACATCATACAGCCGTATTTGGAGGAAGCCAAGTGCTCAAATACGGCTGACGGCTCACCTTGACCTAATGTCATCACAAGGATTTTACATCTTACTATTTTGCTTCTAACTTGCTATTAATTTTACCTTTTTTATATATTTTTACTTATCAATTTTTATATAAGAAATGGTTGCATAAATGTTGCATTACATTTCCATTTTATAAAGATATTATTTATAAGGAGAAGGAAGTGTGTATTTCTATATAGACGTATTATTATAGAATCGGAATTGATCGCGTTCGTCGACGAGTGAAAGCGTTGCGTCACGTGCGTCCGTACGACGTACCCACACATTATATTGTTAGCTATATTGCACAGCCGATAATTAAGAGAGTGTTTATAATATATAGTTTAATAACTATGTAGAAATATCTTTCTATACAAAAACTCATCTGTAGTACGTGAATTTTACTGAGAAAGTTGAAGTGTGACGTTGTACAATTTAGATTTGTGAAATAGATAATAAATAAGGAAATTTATTATAAGTTAATCTTTAATGAATGTTTAAGAAGAGACTTAAGAAGAATTAAGAAGAGAAGAATGTGAATGTGTCATTTAATGTATGGTGGGATTTGTGGTCGGACTGTTCATTCTTAAGTTTTATCTTGAAACTTTTCGTACATCTTCATACAAAGTTTGCGAGTAACTCAACTGAGCGCATGAAAATACAAAATAAATGCTGTTCTTATCAATGATAATGACGATAACATGAGTTTTAAGAACCGTTCTCACAGTCTCTAATTTGTAATTATGAGTGCTATGCATAATCTTCGTCTCATTAGCAGCTGTCTTATTAGCTATTAGACATTATTATTGTGAGAAAATTTTAAACCTTTTCACATTATGCATACTGTTATAAAGATTTTAATTTCCTCCGAGAATTTTTTTTTTATATTATATACTTCGTAAGTAAATATAGATATGAATATCAATTAATTACTCTATAAAAGACAGTATAAAAACAAAGAATTTTACAGTACTAAACTTTATGAATTTAATCGTGTATGCGTTTTAAACCTGTGTATTGTATTTACATTTGCAAACTATACGTATATGTTTACGAAGACTCATGACCATATGAATCAAGCTTTATCTCCGTGACAATGCAGCTATGCTGTTTATCCTCACGGATAAATGTCAAAGCAATTATTTTAAGAATTATTTTTAATCCAGTGACAACCTTGAATTAAAAGCACCTGCAGATAAAACTAGGCGAGCTTTTAAATCTAATGTAAATAAAACAGTGTCTTTGGTTGAGATTATTTGTCATTATTATTTTAACTTTTGTAGAAGTACCTTTACGTACAATCATTTCGACCATAAAAAACATTGTATAGTGTTTTTATGTTTTAAAATATACAGATCTAAAAGCCAAAAATGTACAATTTGATTAAAAACAATAGTATTAGCAAAGGTTTTTTTTTTCATTTTCATAGATTGAAGAAGTATTAAAACATTTTGTATCATAGTTATTTTTGTAAATTCATACAACGACTTTCTTTTGTATTAATAAAACTAGTGTTGCGTAAAATAAAAACCTGCAGTAAATTATACCGGCACTTGTAGAAATGTCAAAATGATTTATGTACTGATAAAAGTCATAACAAGTAACGCCCGCTTGTTCCAAATAACTTTAACAATGTTGATAGTTAAGATAATATCATTAAATGTACTCTTTGTACTTTTATAGAATTGTCCAAATTGAGTCAACCCTTTGATAAAATGAAAAATGAGTGCTTTAAAGAAAGAATTATACATAATAAACAGGATATTTAGTTATAAAGAAAGTGCACTAGCCCCCACACTAGGTTTCCCTGTGTCACTGAGAAGAAAAGCTGCCATTCCTTTTGACATTTTAACAATACTTGACACAATAATTTTTACATAACACTTAATTTTACAATTGACTATTGTTGCACAATAAGAATATTTTCCGTTTCAACACAGGACAGATTGAGATGTTGTTTAAGATTGTTAGTGAATGTATAAAGTTTTGAATTATACTTGTTAAGTCCCATTTAGGACTAAGTCTCGACTCTGAATTTCCCTTTCGCAGTTAAGTCTTCCATGCAAATATATACTTAATCACAACTCATTTCTATAAGACACGACAGAACAAAAAGCAATGAATGGGAAAACGTTTGGTAATATTTGTTCCAGTTCGCACGAACACTTACTCGCGACTCTTGCACAATCGATGTAACAGATTTTTAATATTTATTGCGTAGCTTATGAACAACTGTATGTTTACCTACCTTTATCAAAAAGGTTAAAAATAATGTGTTTCAGTGTTGCCTAAATCATACGTATGGTTATGATGTAGTTTAATGTGTTTTCGCCGTTATTTATAAAATCTAAATTTATCTAATTGAATTATTTAATGTATATAACGCATTGCTATGGATTGTCAGGTGAACTTCAAGCTTCTAATATCAGTAAAGCTTGCTAATTTCATTAAAATGTATAAAACATAAATTAATTGTTTTATGTAATATGGAACTTTTCCATTTCTTGTTAATTTCCATTCTATGTTATGTACGTTATAGTTTTCCATTTTACTCAATATTGAGGAGATATGTTGTCAGCCTATTTGTATTTTTAACGGCCAGACGACATTGGTTCCAGAAGAATTTTGAATATTTATCAAAGAGAATTGAGAATATTTGTCAGGAGGATCTTTGCAAATTGCATCTACATTCATCTGAAAATAAGTATATAGAGCGAAATGTGTTTTCGCGACTTTAATTTATGTGAAATGTGGCCCGCACAACAAGAAACGTTTCACCTACAAGTGGAACGTTTCTTTCGGAAGTGTACGTAATTTACGGAAGAAATGTTTAATTATAAATACTGAGTCATTGGTTTTAATTCAATACTTTTATAGAATGTAAGCCTATTTGAACGTAATATATGAAAATACTGAATTTTAAATACTATGTGCTTACTTAGTAGAATTAGGTTAGTTTTTGTTAGGATTTTACTAGATCTTATGCTAAATACTAAAATTAGTTTGAATTTTAGCAATTTTAATGCAATTAGCATAATGAGTGACGACTAATCAATATCAAAGCTTTTAATAATCCAAATTTTAACAAAAGTGATTTTATCAAATGTTTTAAATATATATTATTAACTACATGCATCGATGCAAAGTCGGTACATGTCGCTCACAATTCATATTGAAAAGTCCAGTCAGAAAGGAAGAAAGCGTGGACTGTCAGCTCAGTTACACAACCTTACCGCTTGCAGTGTCCCGTCGTAGAAAGTGAAACTATCAGCGCGAGCGCATGCTCCAACTATGAAACACTCACAATCCCGGAGCGAAATAGCACTTCGGAAAACTGGATTCAAACACGTTAACACTGTACAATGGTTAGTGCGGCGTTCTGCTTAACGCGTCAAGTGCGACTGTGGCGAGGAGAGAGCACAGCGCGCCTCCACTGTTGTGTAAGCGATGGCGATCGCAAAGAAGGGAGCTGTTGCATAACGCGATAATTGAGGTTTAGAATTAACGAATTAATGAACGGTGTAAAGATCTAAAATTTTGAGAAATTAAGAGAATGTGTTGATTTTGAACGGTTTTGGTCGAGTCAGTTTTTAGGAGAGCATTGGCGGTAAACGGCATTTTATTTGTTTATTAAAACTACACACGTACGTACTTAACACAAATATTTTTTTATCGAAACGCTAAATAAAAATACTAAACAATAATATATCCAGAGAGAATGCGTGCGTGTCTTAAAATTTCGTGACATCAAATGTCTGGTAGTGTTTGAAGGTAACTTTTTTGAAGAGTAGCCAGGGGAATTGAATACGTCTAGTGTTGAAAATAAGTCAAAGTATAGTGCAGGTAGCCGATTAAATAATTAATGTTGAGTATAGTTATAAAATGCGAGCAGTGAGGTATTTTAGTCCTTGTCGCGGAGGAGAATTAAAAGTTATACACCGCAGCAATTGAGGACAATCGAATTTATTATTAAACATGTCGTACAGGAGCATAATGTCGAAAAGTTGACGCCTTTTCCCTAAGGTTGGCCGATATTGAAGAAGTAAGACGATTCCCGATAATCCCGGCAATATCGTTTTGCTCTGAAATTAATAAAGATGTTTTATTTTTTCTAATTTTTCAAAAGGCTTTTTAAAGACAGGCACATTCAAGGCTAGCTCCTTGCGTAACAACAGTATAGTTCTTTTAGGCACTGTGAGTCTTTAAAGGTTGGGTTATATCTTCAATATGTGCCTCACCTTCACCTTGTCATCTTCGTCTTGTTCTATGAATTAGTTCGCCATTTATGTCATAAATTAATAATCTACTATTTCCTTTTTGTGAAAATCTTATTAATTCACATTTTTTAAATATTTATTAAATTTGTTATTTTTATAATATTGACCTAAACGATTGAGATCAGACTTTAAATAACGGCATTGACTATTTTATGGAATACTTTCTTGTTATCCGCATATAGAAGGCAATTAGCGTTCTGCAGACAATGGGTGATGTCAAACGAGTATATATTGAACAGCAAGGGAGATGTGAGATCCTTGTGGGACACCGGAACTGAGGTTAACAAAGTTCGAATGAAAACTACCATGGACTTACAGCCTGATGGAGATTTTTATATAAGAATCCATACATCTGAGTAAATTTCCTTTTCCTTCCTACAGATTTTAACTTTATGGCAAGGATCGTATGATCAACCCTGTCGAATGCTTTTCTGAAATCAGTATATCGTCAATCTGTGCACCATCGTTTATATTAGATAATATGTAGTGAGTCAGTTCTGAAAGGTTAGTGTTTACTGAGCGAGATTTTAAAAACCCGTGTATTTAGAGCGTATTGTTTGCATGAGTTATTAATAATTCTTTCCAACATATACCCAAAAATAATTAGAATTGATATTTCTCTGTAGTTACTTTTATGCGATCAGTCAGGCCTAGTGGCTTCAGCGTGCGACTCTCATCCCTGAGGTCGTAGGTTCGATCACCGCCTGTGCACCAATGGACTTTCTGTCTATGTCCGCAATTAACATTAGCTCGAACGGTGAAGGAAAACATCGTGAGGAAACCGGCCTGCCTTAGACCCAAAATGTTGACGACGTGTGTCAGACACAGGAGGCTGATCACCTACTTGCCTATTAGATTGAAAATCATGAAACAGATTCAGAAATCTGAGGCCCTGACTAAAGAGGTTGAAAAATACTGATTTATTTATTTTACGTATAAACGAATAACTAATTTTTGTAATAGAAATTTACAAAAAAGCTTCTAGTGTCTTAAGATATATTTAAATGCGTGAGAAAAAAGACGATATCAAAGTTTATTTTTTAATCTATTTAGGTCAAGTCAAGAATTGAATATGAAGAAATCAGAAATAACGTAGTCTATACTTAGATACACTAGTTGAATAAAAATTTTCTAAGAGACGCCATTGACAATTTATAAATTACAATCTATGAATGTTTATTGAGGTGGTAAAAATATTTCAATAACATTGGGTCCGAATGTAAGTAAAATTAGTTGGAACTACTTTTGTCGCGCTTCCAAACAAGACTGCTATGGTTACATTATGGCTATGTTCACATGTAACGCGCGGTAACGCGCGTCAACGCGCGATCAAATTTGAAGAGCGTTCAGATGATGAGCGCTAACGCGCGTTGCGAGAGTACTCGTCAGTCTAGTTCGGTAGAACGTAGAAAATTGACGTGGAAGAGGCTATTATTTTGTGGTTATATTATAAAGAAAAATATAGAAAAAGAAAACGTACACATTGGGTTTATCCAATTTTAAAAAAAAATACAATTTATATTATATTTTTTATACAAATTTGCTATATTCCAACTTGCTGACCTTTTTTCTACTTCATCGATTAGTAAGTCGATGTCAATATCTTCAATTTCACTCATTTTAAAAGCGAGAACAAAATATAATTACGAAAATTAATAAAATTACATGCGATCGCGATGAAAGCGCGCGCTCATCTGAACAGCAAACGGACATTACATTAATATCAAAGCGCGCGTCAACGCGCGATCACCTGCGTCTAGAGACTTTTTCTCTGAGCGCCGCGTTGACGCGCGTTAACGCGCGTTAACGCGCGTACATGTGAACAGTTGTATGAAAAATACCATAATCTCTAGTCGCGCGATTTGAAAACGCGCGTCAAGTTTTTGCCATCTGAACATAGCCTAATACAACTTACAGCAGTTTTCAAATGTAACATATCATGATTTAGAATATATTATTCATTATAATAAATAGAAAAACAGTATAGCATAAGTAAGTGAAACCGCGAGAAAAATATTTGCAGTTCGAAATTTAAAAGAAAAATTTAATATTCAGAAAAGGTATTAACTTAATATAAATAAAAGCTTTATTTTTATTAACTTACCGAACGAAAATTAAAACATCAGCCTAATCACTTAAAAAAGAGAACAACCTTAAAACTCGAATTAAACTTGCTAATGTAATTTAACATTTTAATTGGTCAATTATCGCAGCCATTTACATTATTCTGTTCTTGTGAGGTAATTTAAACACATTGATTTGACAAGTACCTAATATTGAAAAGCAGCGTGCGTAAGAATACTTTTTCAGGTCATTAAACACACCATAACTAACCATTGAAGTGGTCAACCCGTAATAATATACGGATGTATCGTCACAAGGCCATGTACTTTCACCCAATGGCATGTTTGATGTATTACACAACTCATCGGCTGGCTGATAACATTTATATAAGAGATGTCGTCAGTTTGTCTGCTTACTGATGATGTTTTGTGAATGGTTAAACGATTCACAAATTCCGCTTTTCCAATAAGTATTATTATCATAAAGGCTTTGTAGCTTTGATTGCAATGTGTTATATTTCCGCATCTCTTATTGTTCAGGTACTTCTGATATGAGCTGGTTTAAATGAAAACACGCAATTATATTTTTCGCAGTATTTTTGCGGTTATTAAATATTATACGAAAAGGGTTTCAAAATATCAAAAACTAAGTAAACCGTTAGTTATATAAAAATATTTGTTTTAGAGTTTTAGTGATGCGTGCTTTATTGTAGTAATTTTTAGATAACAACACCTAGTATGGTTACCAACCAATGTTGCATTTTGTAGTTCAGTAACGATTCTGCCTTATTTGAAATTTTCAATTCAACTATTCGTGTATTGTATACAAAATGATATAACTATTACATTTTATGTACCTCTACTTGTCTGTGTATTTTCAAAAATTATATAGATTTTTACAAAGTTTTACCTCTAGTAAAAATTATTGAATTTTTTATATAATGACCGCGCGTTGTGACGGAGAGCGACTTGTTTAATACTATGTAGATGTTATTATACATATAAACTTTGTTAAAAAAGATTTCTAAGGAAATAAAATCACGTTAAGAGAATTTATAACACTTTTGAAAGATTTATATCATAGTAGTAATAATAAATTAAAAAAATATATATACATATTTATTATTTATACTTATACTGCAATCGCTTAAACATTGATACCCTAAAAGTTTTTGAATTAATCCTCATACGAGTTCACATCTTCCACGTGAAACCTATAAGTACTATCTTAACATAGGCTATTAAGTACACCTAAAAACATTATATGTATTATAAGGCGCGTAATTTATGCAATAATTAGCATTTAGTTAGTACAGAAGAATCCTCTTCCGTGGACCAACCCAGAAGTTTTGGCCTACGACCGTGCTTCCGTGCAAACTCGTTTAGATGACCTGTTACATGAAAAGAGATATTGGTGTTATGACTTATGATTCACGGAGCAGGTTTGATCCACGCGCCGACATCAAGCGGCTTGTGCGCCGGATGCGCTTAACATCCGCCGCTGTCACTACAGGTTGCTATTGGCAAATATTACGACAAATATCTTGAATGTTCTCAACATAAAGTGTTCCGTTAAAACAATAATAGGCCAGAATCGATTCAAATGTCCTGCCAATGGTTTTTCCTTGCTGTTAGCATTCTATTTATCCTTTAATCCTTTTTTAACTAGTGGCAAAATTCGTATTCTGTATTCCTATTAGCTGACCCGGAAAACGTTTGTTTTGCAATGTATATTATTCCTAGGAAACATTTTTTTAGTTCAATAAAAATAACTATCTACAATAATAAAAAATAGGGGTTGATCGTAGAGAAGTGAAAATTAAGGGTTGTATGTATTTTTGTATGCTCATAAAAAAATAAAAACAAAAAAAAAATATATTTTTTTTTTAGTGTGGACACTTATTATAACTTAGGGGGTTGAAAGATAGATAGTAGCCGATTCTAAGACTAACTGAATATGCATAAAAAATCATAAGAATTTGTCGAGCTGCTTCGGAGGAGTATGGGAACGAACATTGTGACACAACAATATATATTATGTATATTATATACATATTATACATATATTCATCCGGATAGTTTGAGAACAAGTTGATTTGATTAAATAAAAGACACTGCATTGAGGAAGTTAAAGACATTAAATCATTAGTTCGTCTCTTTTATGTAAATGTAATTATTTCTAGAGAAGAATTATAGAGAAAAGCAATGCGAGATCGGTAAACACAGAAACCTTTTCCGGCCGTTTCGAGGTCAAAGTATGAAAATCTCGTTTCTCATTATGGAAATTTTATTCGAAAATAGAGATTGTAGTAATGTTTAAAACAATTTTCCAACGGTAGTTCTGAAAAATTTAGATTCATTTAATTTTTTTCCCACCCCCAGAGTGCGTTGATTGCATACAATACGATGCAACTCCATAGACTGCAGTAACAATAATAATAACAATATTTTAATACGAACAATCTCTTCGAGCCTTCTTGGCTTCGTGGTCTACTCACAAATACTAGAACGGAGGCTTTAGGTTCGATTGCCGACAAAACAATGACTGTTTCAGGTTGTATAGAAGTCTAATTACGTACTTTAAAAAAAAGCGGTAACGTGGAGACGCATTTCCATACAGGTTTTTAAATAATCAATAAATATTAATGGTGTAAGCCATGGATTTTAAACTAAAATTAAGGCTGACTGTTATGCTAGGCAGCCTTTAGTAAGCTTTATATGTTTTTGGCATAAGTAAATTAAAAAACGTATTCTTTATAATGATTTATTAGGGTTTATGAATATTGCGATTATACGCTAGCAACCATGCTAATAGCTTGTTCATGGCGTCTGGGTCCTCACACTGTAGCTTATAGCACTGCTTTTGTCGCCCTCCGGCTTGATGGCTGTTACCAAAAATTAAACATCATAAAATATTATTACAGCTATTTATCTATATGTGTTTGCGGTTAAAAATTAAATAAACTTTATAAAGTTGTGACGGTAACGGTATTTCGCTCATTAAAGTTTTATTTAAATTTGTAGTGCCATTTCCCAAGTATTGTTTTAGCATGCGGTTCGGGAGCTGAATTTGTTTTATTTATTTATTCACGCCTTTCTTCCGAAGGGCTAGACAGAGACCACTAATCTCTACTTGCTACAATTCTGACATACCTCTCTCGCTTCATCCAATTTCATGACATTCATGGTGAATGTCATGGCATGTTCGTGTTTCATGTGTTTCTCTAGTACTGAATATATGGCCTGTACTAACCGATAATAGTGCTTTTCTGAATGAATCTCACAAAGCAACCGTCGCTTACATCGCTCACTTATGTCGGGCAATCTTTTATCCGCACGTCGTGAAAAATGGTTTCCATAACTGAAACAGAAAATATTTGACAATGTCTCAAACGTGGAGTCAATTTCTGGCAGATATAAAATAGACGAAGTAACAATCCTTTTGTTATAAAAAATTATAAAGAAAAGCATAAGAATCAAGGAAACGGTAAGAAAATTACCACACCCAGGCAAGATTGTCTTTTAATTTGTGTTCCATAAAGGAATATAGACGCAATTAAAAGAAATAGTTATTCTGAGAGAGTTGTCTGACGAACTCGTAGTCAAGTAATTTTTATGATACCACACGTCAGAGCAAGATAAAGTTTTTAGGTCGATTATGAAATGGGCCCGTCAACCTAACGTATATCAAGATCTCTGCATATATTAAATAATTTTGCATGTTTGTCGTAATGTTTTGAATATGTAGCATGTTACTCGATGTTACGTCCGTAGCCAGCGCTAGGTGAAAACGGTTTATGTAAGAAATTCTGCGTGTGCAGTTTGCGTGCGGATGCAAGCCACATCCGCGTAAGCTCGCTAGATCGTTAGGATTTCATGGATTTATATAATTCTCTTATTTTCCTTTTAGCTTTCCCTTCAGGATTGACTCATTTGTGACACATTTACCTATTACAATAATATAGTCTATATTACAACTCGACTCAAAGCTTTCGCTCAATGTATGTAATTAAAAAATAACACATCTACTTAATTTACGTTTTACAATGTTTCAGGAACATAGATTGTATCAATTGCTTAGTAATGAAACCCATTTGAGAAAAACTTACTTATAATTATTATTATCAGTGGATTCTAACGTGACGATGCTTGGAGTAAGAGCCGACACGATGATGCCGATCGGCAACAATGCCGTTACCAAGTTGAGAAGTCCCTGCCACGGATTTTTCCTGAAATATTTAATATATTTGTTAAACTCAAATTGTATTATATCATCTACGTAACCCAACAAAGAAATTATTAATCCGGGATTGGAACCTCTAAACACGATTTAGCCGACACAGAACATATATTAATACACTCACATTACATACATTCCCTAAAAATCTTAAACAAAATTTTCTCAACCTGAACTATACTGAAATAGAAGATTTTTATTGTGTAGAAATTATTGTCGAGTTGACAGTACATGTTAAAAGGAAGATTCTGGCTGCCCACGACACAGGAAATCCTAGTGTGGGGGGCTAGTGCACGTTCTTTTAAACTAAATATCCTTTTTATTATGTTTAATAAAGTTTCTTCTTTCTTTCCACATATATGACAATAAAGTTTTAAGTTTAATTAATGGATATTGCTTTCATATAAAGAGAAATAAATCATAGTCAAAATTGCTTAATCGCAATCGGATATTAAGTGAACAAGATAAAGTTATCAAAGTTTTGGCGGAAGCTATAAAAGTAGTTTCTATCACTTTTAAAATGGCGTAGAATATTAAATTTACAAGCAACCTTCCGCGGCTTTAATTACATAAAATTAACTCATAAATGTATACCTACGCAGCAACCATCTCTCGCTTTGCTCATAAAAACTGCTGCTAATTAAAGTAAATATAAGAGGAGAAAAGAACTTTGGTTGATAATTTTCCGGCCTTTTTTGAAGGATACGTTTCAGAAATATCTACACAAGGGCTCAACGAGGAGGCAATAAAGCTGAATTCTACGTTTAATTAGTTTCATACAGTAGTGCAGTGTAGTGTGAAGCCAATTACCGCACTTAGACATTTAGTCCGTTGTGGATAAAGTCCTGGCTACCTACGCCAGCCTAGCTCCTTCCAGAATCATTTCATACGGTAAATATTTTGCTTAGTCAAATTTGAGTTACAACAAACAAACCTATAAAACATTACTTTAAATATATAAAGCCAATTACTGCGCAAGGACACTTAGACTTTCATCGCTTCGATGATTAATTCGTCGGATCAGTGAAAGGATACATTTGGTTAAAATCTGAGCTCTTTGAGGAATTGCCGTGTTTAGTGATGTACGATAAACAGTTAAATTAATAAAAAAAATTTATTGAGATATAGGACTTTAAGAAAAAAGCGTAACAATTCTTAATAGGCCGAAAACGCACTCGCGAGCCGTCTGGGATTCGGAGTGGCCATGGGCGTCAGTTTCACTTAACATCAGCTGTTTGTTATTTAAAAAAAACACATGCATAATGGTTTCGAGCCAAGAAACAGAGCTTAACTGAGTGTTATGCAATATAATGCTATATATGCAAATCAAATAATTGTACATGTAACAAATTATTAATGAATTGTACACATATATTTCATATACCTACGATTTTAATGTTTGATTACAATTGTAGGATATTCGACAAAACTTTGCTATAAAGAAGTTAATTACTTTGATGTAATATATGTTAACAGTTTTTTAACTACTAATAAACATAATAAATATAATATATATAGGTAATTAAATATATCGATAATTATGCACATCACCAGCCCAATCTAGTGTAAAACTTGCTCATCAGTGAGCTTTCATTCACATCCGTAACTGATTTTTTAACGCGTCATTACTTTAATTTATTAATTAAAACGACTCCAATTACACTGGACAAATAACTCTTTATATATATATATTATAGTTTGCGTTACGATAATAAACAATTTAATGATATTTCGATTCAAATAAGCGTAGCATATTTCAGTTGATAATATGTAGCCACCGAATTCCATACAAGAAGTTAATTTTCTATATTATAGACTTCCACAGGAAATATCATACATAAAGAAGCCCAAATCAGAAAGTAGAATACCGCTTACAAAAACTGTTTAAATTTCGCGTAGGTGATGTTCAATATTAATAACTACAGTTTTTACTTGGAGTAGTTTATGTTGCGTAACTGCTTCGAAAAACCTTAGTCCATCGTATCTATAGAACGTTGTTTTTGTTGATTTCAGTGGAATTATATTACTTTAAAATATTTTCAATCCCATTATCTCTATACATTCTTAGTACAATATACTTACTGCATGTACAAGCCTGATAGTTGGAAACTAAATCTCGTCATCAGGTCCATGTTGATCACACGTCACGGTTAGTTGGTGATCATTTCCACAATCTGGCAACGACATATGTGTTGAGGTGAAACATAGTTTAAATACCTTTTCTTAACTTCCTTTTCTTTTCCATCGTTGAATTCTAAGCTAAAGTCGTCATGTCCGTCAGATGCAGGTTTGTCTCTGAAAGGGTCCGGAGACTTGTATAGACTTCCAGCTGGAATCTTAACAGGAACTTCTGCGGTTGGTTTTGAGTCATATTCGTATGCTTTAATTGGTTTAAAGTCGTTTTCGAATTTATATGGTTTGTTGGAGTTGTCCTTTGGGTGATTGTAGTCTAACTTAAAAAAGTTGTTGGAACTGGAAAAGTATTTTTAACTTTTAATTTTTTTAATAGGAAATAGGCCAAACCACTCTGCCTTATCCCATATAATAGTTAATATTTAAAGAAATCTTTAACGGACATAACTGCAAATTCATCATTTACACATAGTTTCGAGTACTTACAACCAGTCGTGGTCCGTCAGAACCCTCTGTCTCGCACTCGAAGCGTCAAATTATGTAAATAATTTAGTTTTATTTAAATATGTTGTATTTGCGTAAACTTAGAACAATATTATCGTAATCATTAGGACACGATTGTTAGATGTAAGACTTCGGTTCCCTCACGACGTTTTTCCTTAGCCGGATCTCCAGAATATTACATAATTGATAAATCCCACTGGATTAGTCTTATGTCAAGGTTTAGACGAGTATAAATCTGACTCTATTTAAAAAATAAAAACTTGAAAACTAATAAGAGTCTATACTGACCTTATAAAAGACGAGGAGCCTTTGACTGGAGTAAAAGATCCTAGACTCTTCCCGGTCGGAACAACAACCGCGCCTTCATCATAGAAACTTTCCAATTGTTGACTTGGTTTAAATTCCTTTGATTTTGAAACAATTTCCTTAACTTCCTCTTTTGGTACTGTTAAAACAGCGTCAACTTTCCAAGTTGTAGTTTCAGTTTTTGCGCTTTTTAGATTGTCAGTAGTAGGCTTTTCTTTATTTTCTTGAGATTTTTCTATTTCATTAGAATCGTGTGCATATTTATCAGTGATTTTTATTACTTCCTCACTTTCTTTAGGAATTTTTGTACTATTAACCGGAAATAAAGCAGTAATATTGAAGCTCTCTTGGACGCTTTGAACTTTGTAGACGGCAATAAGGAGAAACACTGCCACAGATATCTGAAAAGGGATTATCTCTACATAATGTAATAGGCTATAAAAGTATATCAACTAGAGTCAATTGGAATCGCCTTAATTCGAAGATTTGCTATAATACGTAATTGTGATGTTAATTTATTAAAAACTGAATTTTCAATAATGTAGTTTTGTTGTTTACATAATCGCAGCTCCCATTGACCCATAAAAGTTAGCAAAAAACGGAAAGACGTAATAAGTTGGTCGATGGGTTACATCACAGCCACGCTTCACACTTTCACCGAAACCAAACAGTATGTCACTGACCGCTACCACGTCAGTCGGCACACGCTTGGCTTGCGGTTTTTTACTCTATAGCAATTATTAAATTTGATAAAATTGGGAGTGAATGCTTTAGAAGAATATGAATGAATTCATTTGTGTGTTCTTCGTAATATAAAGTACATATTACATAGCACGGCACACACGGACAGAAGCACATGTGCTTGGATTGATCAAAATACGGTTTTTATGAAAGTATTTAATACAATAATTTAAACTAACCCAATTCCCTTCCCACCATTTAATTAATTAATAAAATAATGGTTTCAATCTAGTTAGCATTATAAAATACCTTGTAATTTATTTATTTGGTTATAACTTGATTATTCATGATTTTATAAACTTATTATGTTCAAGATAAGTTTCCCTTTTTGGTTCCGTGATTGTGGGTTCGTTTATAAAGATAATCCAATAAAGGAGACTATATCACAGACGAGCTAAGGGTAACCCTTGACCCTTATCCATTTCTCCAACTTTCTCAACGACTCTCGATTCCATTCCCGCTAAGATTACTGATGATTGCTGAATAAATTGCCGCAAAAACAATACAAATGTATTCCTAGTAATCATTGTACACATCGAATATTGTAAGTGAGAATCAGGGAGGCAATTCATTGAATAGGCAGAAATGCAGATGAAGATTAAAATAAAGGTAAAATATGTATTTGTGTGTTAATATATCATAAACCTGATAACATGTTCAAATACTGTTCCATTATCAATACTAAAAAGTTATTATTTTTTTTACCTAAGATAATATCGTTATTAAGGATTATTATACGATGTCAATTGCCAAACTTTTAGGAAATAGTACGCTCATTTCTTAAAGGACCCTAAGTCGAATTCGTATGGTAATACTACTTCAATAGGTAACTGTCTCATAGTGGTGCTGGTCTTAAGAAACGTTTGTTAAATTATGATAACGTAATACGAGTAGTATGTATGTCTTGATATGTCTTCATGAAATGATCAAACTATTAAAAAAATATAAATATTTTCTCTACTGAGATACATATATTATGTTTTTTTATAGAAACTGGTAAGTAAAACTGACATAGTTTAAAATCGGTGAAGAAATTTGCCACCTTTTCAGCCATTAACATATCCCAAAAACGAAAGTGCCAAGTAGCACCTTCTAATGACAGTTTTTGTGGTTTGCAAACCGTAATTATTATACAACATCTGGCAATTTCAATCTCGCTTCGAAACAAAAAAGGAAAATGTAATCCAAATAAGCGAGTGATAATCATATGTTGCTATTATTTTTTCACTTTCACCGAGAGAATTAAATTAGCTCAATTATTTACAAAATAAACTCACTATCTTTAATATAAGTATTTGTTTATACATCACAAATAACATCAGAAAGTAGCTGTATGTACTTAACAAAGGGTAAAGAATCCCTAACTCGGGATTCACAGTCGAGTCTATGACTACCGATGACATAAAAGTCAAAAGTCAAAATCATTTATTCATATTAAATGCTTCTAATTTTACATTAACTGCCCGTTCTCAAATCAAGGGCGTAGAACGGAAGAGAAGAACTGGCAATAAACTCTCCGCCACTCTTTTTAATCGCCAACTTTTTCGTTTTACACAACGTTTGTAAGGAGTTGCAACCACATGACATCTTAAGTAATAAATAATAATAAAATCAATTAAAAACAAAGATTTCTTCTCTATCGGTAGGAGGCATGGTGAAATAGGAGCACGCACTTACATTCTCGTGGGAACAACACGCAAATACATACGGGACATACCCAATACATTTTTGATATGCAGGAGTCATATTTGGCGCTAATACTTGACCATGACCTAGGATCCTCAGATTACTGTTAGAAGATAATGAATTCAAATCATATCTGCTAGAGAATTTTAACTAAGGTGTCTAAGAATACAGCAAACTGGTAGGCGGCAAAATGCGCTGGCGTATAAGCTAAATATCAAGGGTTGTGTACGGTAAATATTTAAAAAAGCTAGCGCACGTAGATAGCGTGCAATATTTTTATATATATTATTATATATTATAGCGTATCAATATCTAGCGATGTGATATCTCCGCATTTTATAAGACGCATCAATTGAACCTTCCCTTCGAAATGGAACCTTTTAGCAGCACCTAATATTTAATGTAAAATATATCCATGTTGGGGAATCGGTATACAATGCTTTGGTTTTTTGTATACGTATAAGTTATACTCGGTAAAAGTCTAGAAAGACTTTCAAAATATGTTAGCTGTAAATATCTAATATTTAATAATTATATTTATTATTATTATTATTATTATAGCTTTATTTATTCCAAACTCATTAAGGTACAAAAAAGAAGTAAGAATATTTTATATGTTAGTAATATGTAGTAATCTTAGTCTATGTTAGTATGTGTAACATTAGTATATTCAAAGTTTGGATCCCATCAGGGTAAAAGCCTCCTCCATTTTTTTCCATTTTATTCTATTTGTAGCTGTAGTAATCCAGTTTCCGCCTGCTACTTTGACTATGTCATCCACCCACCTTTTTTTTGGGTCGACCTCTGTTTCTCTTACCAAGTGGACCAGTCCATTTTGTAGTTTGTACAGTCCATCTTTTGTCGATGTATCGAGAGATATGTCCTGCCCATTGCCATTTCATTCTTAAGGCGTGCCTAAGAGCATCAGTTAATTTAGTTTGTTGGCGAATGTCTTCGTTCTTCATCTTTTGTATCTTCTTAATTTTCAGTATGCTCCTTTCCATAGCATGTTGTGTCGTAAGCAATCTGTTTCTCACTTTGTTAGTGAATACCCATGTTTGGCTTGCATATGTTAGACAAGGTAAAATACATGTGTCCATTACTGTTCTCTTTACTTTTAAGTTATAGGTTCCTTTGAGTATTTCTTTATGAGACCAGAAACTTTTCCATGAGTTTTTGATTCTTCGTTCTACCTCATCGTCGTTGCTGTTTGGTTCAAATGATATCAATTTGCCTAGATAAATGTAGTCCTTAACATATTCAATGCAGACTCCGTCTATTTGAATTGGCTTCCTACTGCTATTTGTTATTATTTTTGTTTTTGTAGCGTTCATGTACAGCCCTACTTTTTTGCTTTCCTTGTTCAGGTTTTGCATCATTTGTTCCAGTTCCTGTGCTGATTTAGCAAAAACAGCTATGTCATCTGCAAACCTTAAGTGACTCAAATGTTTTTCATGAATCCAAATTCCCTTTTTACTCCAGTCTAATTTTTGGAATACAGTTTCTAAGACTGCTATAAACAATTTGGGTGACAGTGGATCTCCTTGTCTTACGCCTCTGTTGATGTTTATATTTTCTCCTGTTTTTTCGAGTTTTACTCTGCTTGTGTTCCTAGAGTAAATATCTTTAATTATGTTAATGTAGCTTGTGTCTATGTCACAAGCCTGTAAAGCTTTCCATATAGAGCTGTGGGTGATGGTGTCAAATGCTTTTTGGTAATCTACAAACCCAATATAGAGAGGTTGATTAAATTCTTTGAATTTTTCTAGGAGTTGTTCAATGGTATGTATGTGATCTATTGTGGAAAAGCTAGAGCGGAAGCCTGCCTGTTCTATTGATTGTCTCTGATCTATTTTTTCTGTTATTCTACTTAGTAACAATGCTGAAAATAGTTTATATAGGGCGGACAGTAAGCTGATAGGCCTATAATTACCAATATCCTTAGGATCTCCCTTTTTATAGATTAATATAATTTCAGATTGGCACCATTGCTGTGGAGCTTTTCCTGATTTGAGAACCATGTTAAGTAGATTTTTTAAAAATGGTGCTATTAGGAATACTCCTTGTTTTAAGGCTTCATTGCTGATGTTATCTGATCCTGGGCTCTTGTCATTTTTCAATTTCTTTATGTGTTTTAGAATTTCAGATTCTGTCACTTCATTTATTTCAGTTCTTGTTCTTTGTTGAGCATATATAATTTCATGTATATTATTTTCTTCGGTTGGCTTTGAATATAGTTCTGAATAGAATGCTGTGGCACATTTAATTAAATCTTGTCTAGTCTTTGTTTTGCCCTGGTTAACAGCTAGATTTTGTATCCAGTTTTTATGTGTTTTTAATTCTTTATAAGCTCTTTTTGTACTTCTATAGGTTGTTAGGTTTCTCTCAATTACTTTTCTTCTATGGGTGTTGTAGTCTTCTCGAATTGCTTTATTGGTCTTTTTGTAAACTTCTTTTAGCTCTTGTTTCATTTCTTTGGTTTTGTTCTGTGTTGCTGTTAGTTTCGTGCGTTTGTTTATTAGTTCTAATGTAGTATTTTGAAATATTTTATGTTCATTATTTTTGTGTTTTCCTTTTATTCTGAGGCTAGATAGTATTGTCTCTTCTAATACGTCGTAGTACTTTTGGACATCTTTCAGACTGTTTACATATTCACTTGTATTTGACAGTTTCTTTTCTAGGGTTTTTATGTATTTGTCTATCTCGCATTCGGATTTTAGCGTTGTTATTAAAGGTTTAAAAGTTTTTCTGCTCAATTTCGGTTTTTCTATTATCAAGGAGGCTCGAACAAGTCTATGGTCTGATGAGAAGTTTAGATTATTCACAATTTCCAGGTTGATAATATTTCTCGGTTTATTGCTCATAATAAAATCTATCTCATTTTTGGTTTTGCCATCTGGTGAACACCATGTCCATTTTCGATTTTCTTTTTTTTTAAAGTAAGTATTCATTATTGATAGTTTGTTTTCGTAAGCATATTGTAATAGTCTTTCTCCTCTTTGATTTCTATTACCGTATCCATATTGTCCCAATATCAAGTGTTCATTATCTTTTGGTTGTCCAATTTTAGCATTAAAATCACCTAGCACTAGCACATTTCTATCTGCAAGGGCATGAGCCCTGCTTAGGTCATCATAGAATCTTTCGATTTCTTCATCATCGGATTGCGCTGTGGGAGCATATACTTGTATGAGTGATATAGCTTCTTTTTTGAGTTGTAATTGAAGTAGAGCTACTCTTTCGGATAATCCGGAAAAGTTAACTATCGAGTCACGTAGTTCTTTCTTTATTAAAAAGCCTACTCCATTGAGGCCTTTTGTTTCGCCTTTAAAGCAGAAGATATATTTATCGTGTTCTTCTATCTCGCATCCAATTTTTCTTACTTCTGCTAAACCTAAAATATCGTAGTTTACTTTTAAAAGGGCTTGTGTCAGTTCCAGAAGGCGTGTAGGTGATGCTAGTGATCTTACGTTATAAGTACAGATCTTTAAAATGTTGCAGTTTTGGTTATCTCTACTATGTAGGCGGTTGGATTCATCGATTTTATCTTCATTTGGAGGGTAGTGGTCTCTTACCCCACGGTGACCAGCCGGGTTGGGGAGATAATTGTTTTCGAAGAGTGCGTTATTGTCAGTTGGTTCCTTTTGTTTTCCAGTTGGTATTGTATTAGTGTTGTGTATTGTTGATTTCTTCAGTGCTTCTGGCTTGCTATTCTCTAGGGCGAAACGGCTGATCTATTTTGTTTATTTTTTTGGGTGCTCTTATTGTTTCTACCAAACTTTGATTGTCAGTGGCTGATGGTGATTCAGTTGGGGACCGTTTTCTCTTTGTTTCTAAAGGTGCTTTTCCCTTAACAATGAGTTTGTTATACCGAATAAAAGCAATTTTTCCGTTTTTTTCTTCTTGTTCTTTCCGTTGTCTCAGTTCCTTTCTTATTTGGATAATATCTTTCGGGTAATCTTCGGTTACATATATATTTGTCGGGAAATTTTTATTATTTTTTAGAAGATCATATTTCCGCCAATTTAAAGCAAGGGTTATAAGTATCGGTCTCTTTTTGTCATTCATTTTCTTGCCTAGCCTTCTCATGTTGCTGATCTCCCATTGATCCCACTCCCGCATCCCATCAGATCTTAAACTGGTTTCATTCAGCACTTCTAACACATTTTTCCAGAGCTCACTTGTACTATGTTCATTTTCTGCCATCCCGTGTAATATTATGTTATCTTTTCTCACTTCTCTCTCAAGATTTTGTATACGTGCATGGGAAGCTTGGAGATCTTGTTTCAGCTTTTTGTTATCCTCAACAAGTGGGCTTAATTTTTTGTCTATTGTTTGCAAAAGACTTTTGTTAAAATTTTCAGCTAGTTCCTGTGTTTGTTTTTTGAAGTCTAGTTTCATTTCCTCCATTTTTTTCTAATATAATTTTCAGTTGGGAATCCATTTTTACAGGTAACTTGCAATGGGAAAATGTTTCTTCTGGGGTATTTAAAATTTCAAGCTGGCAACACTTTTTTGTTGTTGTTGAGCTGTCAGATTGCGAAATAATGATGTATCACTTTTTATGTTTACAAAAACTTAATGTTTACAAAACTTGTACTAAATCGCTGTTTACACAAGAGGTAATGCTCACTATTATAACTTATAATGTTGAGTATCGAATGACACACTTTTTAGTACAGATCACCCACTTTTTCACTAGATTTCAATTTTACAACTGAGAGTGTTTTTACGACGTGTTAACTTTTTGACAACCGGAACCGGAATCCTTATATATCCCGGAATAATTATATACTATTAAGAAAATATTTAAAATCGATTCATCACAAACGTTTCTCCGTCTTTTTTATCACTTTAAATGCCAATAAATAACTTTCTGTGACAAGCCCAAACAAAACAATTTTTCTATTTCGTTGATTTTTTTCCCATGAGAAACAGGCATTTGTCTCTGTTCGTGTATTCATTTTCAATCGATTCGGTTCCGGGAAAAAAAAGGTTTTATTCATGAAATTTCATATTTTCATATTCAATTTCACATTTCATACTTCAAAGTCTGTCCTGTTTTCCCGTTTTGTGGGATTCCACAAATACTTAATATACAACCGAAGAGGCCGCAGTTTAAGTACTTCATAGTTAATATACTTAAGCTGGTACAAAATACAATAGAATGGTGTAATTAGGCACAGATAAGGCAAGGAATTTGTCGGACAGGTGCAGTGAAAGCGAGCTGTGGGAACCGCCTCGACCATTTGTCGCTGTCTCACTGCCTTATGTAACCGATGCTATTATTCAGTAATCCAAGCTATTGTATTTATAATCGACGTTTCGTTTACCACCTTCCGTGCATTAATATCGGATGTATTATAACTATAATTCTGATAGGATGTTATTTAATTATTTATTTAAACTTCGTTACATTACAAATAATATAAATTATTAGGGATGCAACGGGCGGTCTTATAACCTAATCTAACAAGCGATCTCGTCACACTCTAGTAAGGAAAATAACTTTAAAAAGAAATACCCTTACTAAAGTGCAAGAAGGGCAAATCAACAAAAATAAAATTACAAGTAACACTGAAAATTATGCAATTACCAAACTTAATATCAAATAAAATAAAAATATTAATAAAATAAAAAATAGACTAACGACTAACAGCTAATCTTGCGGTTTATGAATTCCAATGCAATACAAATGAATAACAAAATACATAAATTACAAAAGTCACGATTGAGCAGGCTTCTTAACTATATCCTGTTAAAAAGTGTTCATGTTGATGACTTTTAAAAGAGGTTAGACAGGTAGCCAATCGTATGGAGTCTGGGAGTTACTTAGTTATTTCACGACAGTGATGCAGCGGCATTTAATATTTTAATTTTAATGACCTTACGAACTTCAAAATCAGATTAATTGTGATAAGCTCTTTGTTTTACTTATGTACATTTTCGAAAAAAATATAATGTATATTCAGTTAAGAGGGTGCAGCCGTGAGAAGGCGAGATTTCGATATTTTAGTGACTTTTGACATGCTACTTTTCACATAATCGAAGCTTATTAAATAAAGAAATGTACAATTATGTAAACATAAAGTCTTATAGAAGTGTACTGCAAAGGAAAATTTTGGTATTTAATAGTACATCTTTGTTTAATTTGTCATTTCTTAAAAGCAAAATTTCAAAAGCGCTCGTCAGAGCTCACTTTGAGATATGAAATTACCATTAAGCTATGTAAATACATTTTTTTAAATATTTTCGTAGGACAGAATATATAGTCTATTGGTGAACCACAGCGGAAAATATTAAAAATTATATATTTTAATAATTACGCACCCATTTTTATAAATGACTTATTATACGATTTTGGAAACAGCTTTTTATGAGAAAAGCCCGATTTTATTCGTTAAAACTATTTTGTATCGATTAACTGAGGATGAATAAATAATAAAAGTAAATTTACATAATTATTATACGACGATAGTTATTACAAACTATTATTGAAAATGGCCTATATAATTACGCGCACGGGCGAATGTGATTTAGTACGCGCCGGGTCATCCCAGAGGGTGGACGTATCGCTCATTTCCCGCGCGTCTAAAAGTTGATTGACCTTACGTACGACCGAGGTTCAAAAGGAGTATAGTGCGTCATTGGATTTGATACTTTAGTAAGTAAAATTTCTAGTTAATGTTTCTTTCGAGTTGTCATATCGCAATTTTGCTAAAAAATAATATTATTACAGGCATGGGTAACAAACGCAAAAAATATAGTTGCAGTAGAAATTCGAAGTCTGCAGCGAACGCCAGGCAATCAAAAAGGTAAATTAATTTCGCGATATTTTTCTGTCATTTACAGGTAATTTGGTATGTAAGTAAAATCTGTTCATCGTTACTGTTTAGTAAACAATTACGGCGTACTGACAACCAAAGACAATATAATATATTAATATCTTGGTTGATGAATAAGAATAATTTATTAGTTTTAAACATAGTATAAAATTGGTGTTACAATATCAACAGAGTTCGCATGTTTAGCTAAAATAATAGCATGTAAATCACAGATATAGATGTACATAGATAACGCAAGTATCACGATTTGTATTGAAACCAAGCGTGCCGACTTTTTAATACCTATTGTGACGTCACAGCCGAAATTTAGTGACGGGAAATCCAAACCGATTCAAAGACACCGATGCCGCCGATGCCACTAGTTACTAGCTTTGCTACCAGCTTACATTATACCGTTAGTCTTTTCTTATGACGCGCGTGGACTGAAGTTAGCGGCGATCGACCTTGACGCTTGGTCGGGGTTCGGACACGCGAAGTACATGCATTTGCGTTTTCTATGTAAATCTATATATGTGATGTAAATATTCATTACATATACAATAGTATTACATTTAAAAATAAAATAAAAATATGTCAATTAATTTCCAATATTTATAAAAGTAACGTCAAAAGATAAGTATTTAAACAAACAAATGTTTGTTTAAATACTTATTTTAATAATGTTATAATAATAAAACGTTTTCCAGGAGAAAGATTAACGAGGAAAAAAACCAACGTACCTACTCATGAATCTCCTGACAATAACGACTCCTGTGTTGATTCAAAAAATAATAATCGTGACAATGTAAGTATTTACTATCAGCTAGTATAATTAGCTATTCATACTTAAATTTAAATCAGTATATATTTAGCAGTCATCTGGGTAAATTAATCAGTAAATTAGAGGCTTTTACTAAACCCCGGTTTCCAATTAAATCATTGTCTAATAACCAGCCAAGTAATTGAGCGCAATATTAAACCAGATGGCTGAATGTCGTGTAGTCATTTATATTAAATCAGATACCTATTTATGGATTTGTGATGTTTGGGTAAGGTGACCAAGTAAGTTGTACGCAATGTAACTTGGAGGTATCTCCAAGTTTTCCTACTATTTTATTATTATTTAAAATAAAATGTTAATCCAGTTCTTTATTTTTTTTAATAGGAATTATTTGATGCACTCATATCGGATCTGGAAAAAATAGATGAGAAAAAACAAAATATACATTTAGAAGAAACGGCAAATATTGAAGAGTTTGAATTGGTATATAACTTTGGTCACTATATCACGTAGTCACGCTATCTGCCATGCGTAATTCAATTATTAATTTTGTCTAATTTGAAAGAACTTGTGGAAAATCGTCATGCCGTTGAACGTGACACGGTATTACAAGCTGAAAGTGCGTTGTGGCTAGAGCTCCGTAGATGCCTGTTGACAGCCTCATCATTCAGCAAGGTAATTTAAATATTAATATAAGCGCAGGTTTCTTCCTGGAATGTAACTCAGCTATCCGTACTATTTTTTTTTTAGATTTGCAAGAGACGACCCAACATAAGCTCAGCACCTCTTGTGAAGTCCATCGTATACTCGTATTCGTTGGACAAAGTGCCAGCCATAGAATATGGTAAAAGTAATGAAAAATCTGCTATAGACCAACTACAGCAACAAGAAAACATCGTTGTGGAAAAGTGTGGACTTTTCATCGACAAAGAGCATTATTTCTTGGGTGCATCTCCCGATGGTCTCTACAACCAGGGAATTATTGAAATAAAATGTCCATATTCTGCACGCAACATGGATGCTGAGGAAGCGATAAGGCAGCGCAAAATTAAATTTTGGAAATTGGACGGCACCGTTAATACCAACCACGATTGGTATTACCAAATTCAGGGGCAGCTTCACATTAGGTAACTGCAGCATTGTTAATGTTTTTTCATATTATCGATATACCGTTTAGGCGCGTTTCGTTGCACGAGCTATACCAATCGTAAATTGAACTAAACGCCCCTAAAAAGGTGTACATCTTTTAACCCTCGGGAAGTCTGGTGGGTAAAAATCAAACGGCGTGCCTGGTGGGTCTAACGTGAATGTAACGATAATCATTCTCACATTTTTTTTTATGTTTCAGCGAAAAGAAATTGTGTCTTTTTGCTGTGTGGACTGGTCAACAATTTCCACTTAAAGTGGAAGTAATATCAAGGGACGAGGGTTTTTGGTGCCAAAAAATGAAACCGAAATTAATCAATTTCTACGAAAAGTGCCTCTTACCTGAATATATCGACCCCAGGAAAAGCCGGTCGATGCCAATCAGGAGCACTTGTTTGTAATTAATAAAATCTAAAAATGTAATTTATGATGTATCATTTACCCAATACTAGTTTGATAAAAATTAAAAAGTTTCATGGTGGCACACACACGTGACCGTGTATATCAAAGTATCAATATTATTTTATCCTACTATTCCACGTTCGAGATAGCGCTTACGCACACAGACGCATTTTGTTGTTGTGTAGCTCGTCTCGCGTCGATTTTGACTTGGCTGAATTGGGATAAGCGCTCTTAATTTTATTTCTATGTTTTAAACCAAGAGTCAAGCTTAATTTGCAATCCGACGAAATGATAAATTAGTACAAAGATTTATCGATAAATAAATATCGAAATAATATCTTAGTTCGTTAAACAATGCCGTCACGTTTAAGATACTTCTTTAATAAGGTTGATTGTGATTTAGCTATATTGTATGTTTTTATTTAAGTAACCGTATGTTTTAATAGTAATACTCACCATGATATCAGGCTGTTGTCACACAAACTAGGAAGCATATGGGCAAGGTTTCATATTTATAATATTTTATTCAACCGCTACCATTGTTTCGTGAAAATGTCTTGATAGAGAGATGTCGGTACTTTTATCGATATTTTTTACACAAAGCGAATCAAATTATGTAAATGTCTGAATACTTATTCGAACAGCAGTTCTTCTTTATGTACTTTTGTTAGGCATTTATATAGTGTTTTATATAATTTTAGGATGTTCAAACTATAGATAAAAAGTAAAAATGTCAGTGTTTAAACAGCGTTTATGAATAAGAGAGAAATAACGTTTACTCAATCTCGCTTTACCCGAAGTGACAAAACCCCGATACAAAACGAGGCCATAGCGGTGTGGAAGCACAGGAGTGAAAAAAATGTCTTTGAGGATGATTGACATGCCCTGGATTACAGCTGCATCATCACGTCTGTCGACAAAGCGTATAGCCCATCACCAATCGTGCTTAATTTTCCGCCACGTGAGCTTTGCATCGCATTGTTTCGCGGCACTAGTGTAATTATAACCACTACCTTCATCGTAAGATAATCATTATAACTTTCCTAACCACTACACGAGGAAGTCTTTGACATAATTACACTTTTCTTCATCATGTGTGCCGTTATTGTAATTTTCAAATACAAATATTGGGGCTCATTAAGGTAAAAAAAGATAGCAGATTTTAGTTTAAGTATGCTTATTGGAGAATATACATTATATATGTATATGTATTCGGTATAGTCATTAACTCAGTCCGACTTCTGGAAATTTGGTTATAACATCAATATCATATCATATTAATTAGTATTATTTTTATTGGTGTAAATTAAGCTTGATCATAAGCAAGTAAAGCTTCGAAGTCACTTGCAATAAAGTTGTAAGTACTGTTAGATAAATTAGGAAACACTATTAATGAATACAAAATTAAAATGTTAACTCCACGTTTAGAGTATATTTTTGAAGTTATACTTCTTTAGGCGCGTTATGAAAAATTGATGAGAGTGAAATTTTACGATGCGCGCGCACCGTGACACAAAATTATCAGAATGAAGTTGCCCACGGATGATGCTACGGCAATGGACATAATTTAAAAACAACATTCAAATAATAATATAATATATGTTACACTTAATGTAAGAGAATAATAATAAATATTGATTTATTTAATTATTCAAATGTAAACTGAACTTTATTGACTATAATGACTCCTTTTCCAGTCTTTGATTATTTAATTGTAATTAATTATTTGCATGCAATCAAAAACTTTTTTTTAATAATGCTAAAGAAGTATAACTTCTTACGCGCGTACATAAGTACACGCACCTTTTTTAATATTATATTAATTGCTCATTAATAATTTTGGATTTACTTTCATATATTTTATCATATTTCAACATCATTTTCCTTTTCGATAAATATTCCTAAATTATATTCAAATCTGTTACATACATTTTAGGTTTATGCAAACAGTTAAAAATGTTATCAGGCAGAACTCGATTTATTTCAATGATTCAATTCATAAACATTAGAATTAGTACTGGTGAAGATGAATGGGTATTATGGTGCCTTGGTTTCATTAGTAAAAATAAAAAAATAGCAATTGGCAGTTAGACATAGGCCAAACGTCTATCCCGTTTGGTCCAGATAGAGCATATTACAATGAATTAGAGCACATCAATGAATAAATTAACTTGCTTAATATCTAAGTACCAATTTGTAACTATTAAGCACAACACTTCAATGTTTTTCTCTAACTCTCTCTCACTTCAAAGAGTTACTCCTTTTATTTAAAGCCTAGCCTAGTCTAGTCAGTTATAAAAAAATAAAACTACAAAAGTATTAGAAAATTCTAACGCCTTTTCGCGATCGAATAGCAATTATAGCTGCATTAATCGATTTAAAAAAATCTATGGAGATTATTAATTCAGAAATCTTGTAACAAGGTAAATTAGGTAAACATTATGTACCGTGTTCGAATGCAAGTTTTCAAAAACAATTGTTTCTATTCAAAACAAAATATTCTTTGCACAAGTATAGGTATATAGGGGTGGTACAGTATTAGAATACTAGGCTCAGCGTTGCCAGATTTTTTTATTGTCAAGGCGGGATTTTGGAACTTTTTGAGTTAAAAAAGCGGGAATCTCTCGTCGATAGCGGGACATAGTAACTAAAGGTGATACATATTTTAAATCAGATTTACCCTATCGTTAAATACTTGTCTTCTTAATAAAAAAAAAATAAACAAAACTAAACCAAAAAAAGTATTCATTAGACAATTATGGCGTTTCAAATAATTGTCAGAACTCTGAGGAATGAGTATATGATATACCTGGTATCTTTTTTTGGTAGCTGTTAAAAGAGCTGGTGCCATTTCTGAGCATAGCAGTGGTGTCTTGAGTTAACCCCAAAAAACGGGAAAAAGTCTATCCCGCGCGGGGCATTTCATTTTCATTAAAAAATCGGGACGTCCCGCCAAAATCGGGGTATGGCAACGCTGACTGTAGGCTGTACGGGTGGTATTAAAAGTAATAATAGACTTTATTTGCCAAACTATACAATCAGCTATATATATTGAGTTAAGTATACATTTTAATATTTTTGGTACAACTAATATTTAATTAATATTTTAAGAGTATCATTTATTTTTATTTTTATAACAAAAGGGTTATGACAGAATTCATATATCGCTAGTCCCCACACTAGGGAGGCCCTGTGTTGTGGGTAACTAGAAAAAAATTATTCCGTGGTATAGTACCTACATCTTTAATACGGTTTAAAAAAAGAAAGTAAAAATAAAAAATTGATAATAAATTTAGTGTTACCAATTAAGAATGAGTGAGTGTGTGAATGGGTGTGTATGAGCATGTATTTGAGAGTGTAGCTGAAAGTTGTTATGATCGTGCACTGTGTTTGCGACCTGCGTTAGTTTTTGAAACCTCAAAGTCTTACTAATATACATAGTAAGGTCTCTGTAGATTCGAAATCCAATTTGGCTAGTGTAATTCCTATGTGATTTGTGAGTTTGAATCTGGATAGTTTGACGATCTCAGAATCCATAGATTTGGAAATTTTAACAAACAAATTTAAATTAAAACTTGCCCTCGAACCGGGAATCGAACCCGGTACCCCTCACCTAGCTGCCACTTAATAAGACTGCTAGGCTATGAGGCCCCTTTATGATATCTTAAGCAGATCGCTAAGATGTAAAGCTTCCTCACTGAGAGGGTTTTTGTTTCTAGGTAGTTTGACTGTGGGGTACGTTAACGGTCTGCAATAGGTAACTTTAAGGATCGCTCTTTTTTTCATACTATTCATATATTTTATCACAAACACTTAAATGCGTATCTATGATCAAGAGTTAAAACTCTTCTTTGTTTCCATTTAGTTGTTTTTGTAATAATCAGAAACAGACAAACTAATGAGCCTTCCTCCAAATCCAGTTGACGGTTTATAAGCGTAAATTGTAGTTGACGGCGCCAACAAAAAAAAATTATTGACAAAAGATAATATTTATTTAATTACAAATAATTAGGTACTTACAAATATACAGGAAGCTTTACTTATGGAATAATATCACTTAATAATAACTTATTTGTACTTGTGGTGACAACAAAAATTAAAGTATGTATTATTAAAAAAGGTTCACGATTTAAAACAAACAATTAAGGCACTAATATTTTATAAGCATAGCCTTGATTACTTCACAAAATAATCATGTATAAATTTAAAAAAAACTTTTCTAAAAGCTATCTATTGACCTATGTCGAATGATATTCTTTTAAATTGTTAGGTTTTTGGTCACCTCAACTGTCCTAGACTGATTTCTCCCTCACTTTTACTATATTTGTTGGATTTTGTCTGACAGACGCTCACTTCACCTTCACTTCGAATGGGAACAACAAAACTATGCTCTGAACATTTTGAAGTTGAAGAACTAAATTCAGATACAGATGTAACTTTATGTCTCCTGGAGCGCCTTTGAAACCGCCTCATCTCACCAAAACTTATGTCGGATGATGTATAGTCTTCTACAGAGCTGGAGCTACTCGAAGGAAATTTAGATCTTAATTTTTTGCTATCTGTTTGGTTACTTTTAGCAATAGAAGCCGATTTAGGCAACTGCAATTGAAACCTAGGTGATGATAAATTGATTGTTATATCAAACTCGTCTAAATGAACAGAGTTGTCCGACCCAACTGTTGCGGGTAAGTTTTTTTCAGTTGACAGGGCTATTAAGGGACTTATTTGCTTATCTACTGTTACAGACAAAGCTAACGGCGACGTTGTTCTTGTTTTGGTTCTAGTGGGTGACGTCATTACGCTTTTCACACGCGCTGGGGAAGTCTGAGTGTTTTTTTGTACTGATGAAATATTTTTACTGTCGATATAAGTTCTGGAGTCATTTGAAGTAGACGGTTTATTTATATTAATTATTAAATCACTATATTCATCTACAATAAGTTTCTTTATAAAATCTTTTTCTAATTTGAACATGTTTTCGACTTCGTGTTTAGGATCTATAGATTGATCGTTATGAAATGGAGTATCACTTCGAGGCGATGTTTGTGTCTCTTTTAGTGACATTTTATTAACTACGTTGCTTTGTGTTGCATTCTCCTGAGTATCAATACTATGAATAAATTCAAATGTCTCTATTTTATGTTTTAAGGATAAGTTTGATACCTTCACAGAAGTTCTGTTATGAATGTGTTCTCTTTTAGGTTGATCATGGTCACCATCAATTCTTATGGAATCATTTAAATGTGGCATTTTATTTGAAGATTCAGACTTCTCCGTTATCCCATTTGAATTGTCAGCCTCAAAATCATCAGCATACGTATTATCTGTACTGTTAGTTGATTCTCTATTGTTACTTGAAGTTTGATTGCTATCAATGCATTGGTTTAAGTTTTTGGATAAAGTGATGCTTACTTTTTCTTCAATATCTAAAACTTCCTGAAGTAAGTTTTCATCAGACGTAGTCAAAACCTTTAAATTACTTTTGTTTTCTTTCTTTTGAGAAATCTCATTACTAAATGAATTCTGACGACTTAGTATTTTGTCTAAGATTGGACTGAGCGGTAAATCTTTTCTATTTGATACGTGCGATATTTCTTCCTCGATGTCTTTCACATGAACACCGCCTAATGTTAATTTTGCATAAGGAATGTACTCTGTTGGATTATTTAGCGTTGTTTTGAGTTCAGAAAGTTGTTTGTCGTGATTTTGGGTATTTGATAATTTTGGTGTTGTTTTTTTCAATTTCAATTGTGGCTTACTCTCTTTAGAGGATTGACCATACACTGAACTTAATTTTCTTTTCCAATCATTCAAATTTGTCTGAGCTTTTTTAGAATCAAATTTCAAATATTTAGTTTCGGGTCTCCGGGTATTTGGCTTCTTTGTGTCTGGAACAAGTTTTTGTTTTATATTTTTTCTCTTACCTACCATATTTGGCGATGACTCACTGCTTTCATAAGATAACATCTTAGATATTTTTCGTACAGGAGCAGTCTCGAAGTTTACTTCAATTCTTTGAAGCTCCTTACTGGAGGATACTGTAGGCAAATCGTGATTGACGGAAATTACGCAAACATTATTTTTGCCTGTTGAGACCTCCTTATCGGTATTGGAATCTGGTGTTATATCTAATTGTGCTACTTGTTGTATTTTAAATTCACTTCTTATATTTATGCTTGGCATTTCATGAATTTGAAATTGTTTTTGACTACTATTTTCTTCATCTTTCTTAATTTCTTGATACACAATTTCATTATATTGGACGGCTCTCTCTTTACTAGGTATATTTTTACTTCTTAATTCTAAAGGCTTAGTATCTAACACATAATTGGCACTTTCAGGTATATGAACAAGTTTAGTTCCAGAAATTTTTAAGTTTTTCGTTTTTTTTATTTCATTACCAGATTCACAGCGGACTTCTTTTTTTCTTAATTCATTGGCAATCAAATCTTGTACTGGAGTAGGACTCTTTTGTGAAGTGGATTGCGAAGCATTAATAATTTTATTACCATGAAATTTTGCATTGACTACTTCTTCAACGTGAACCTTTTCATTAAAATCTTCATCCAACGGTGTCGGCAACGTTTTAACTTGTACCCCGGATTCGTGATATTTCGATAACTCTCCAGATAGCACTTTCAGGTCATCTGCAGTCGATTGCAGCATGTCATGCAACTTTCTCAATAAATATTCATCTTCAGGCCTTAGTGCCGGTTCAGGCTTCCATAAATCTTCATCCATTATTTCAATAATATCCATCCTTTTGCTGCTCTCAACCTGTAATGTTGCATATGCGAAATTATACATTTAAATTTGAAAATGAAATACATAATTCGATTGCTGATAAAAGTACAAAATATTTACCAAATATCGATCGACTGGGTAACGAGAGGCTGGCCTCATCTGTTGGTCAAACAAAGGGGCTCCGGCATTCTCTCCGGCGGTCCTTGCCGTTCTGGAAACAAAGACAAACTCACCATATTAGCACTAATACGAAAAATATTTTTAAAATAGCTTTTTTTTGTAATTGAAATTTTTCAGTTTATTCAGTTGAAGGATAGAAAGGGATGTTTAAATAAAAAGGCATTGTTACAAAATCACATCAATTGTATTTCACCAACATTTACATTAACGTCTTAATCGAAGCATTTCAATTGCTTGCAGTAAGAAAGGTAAGTCTTGTGACTCCTTTACGAGTCTACCAGTTCAGGCGGACTAAAAATTTGTTTAAGAAAAACAAAGTTTGCTAGTACAAGAAACAAATAGAATTATAAGTAACAGCAATGAGATTAAAATACATACATAACATTCGAAGTAAAGATTTGATAGGTTAATCTATAAGACGCATAACGCAACGTTATGAACATTATAAATAAAATCCCACTAAGAGCAAATAAATAAATTCGACACTTGTAACGTTGTTTCTATAGTTTTGAAATCTAAATGGTCGTACATTTCATTTTTATAGAACACTATCAAATGTATTATTTCTTTCAATAAAAAGGGAAATCATTGTATTAATACATCAATTTCGAATCCATCAAAAAATACATATATTAACATTAAAAGACAGTGTTACAATAAATAAATCCCGCATTGGATATAAATCGTAGACAGTTGGAAATACCTAGAATAAAGAAAATCTTTCGCATATTACATGTGATTTACATAAATAACTACTACAAGACTCACAGTACTAAGTAATACTGACTGGATAGCCTTGAATAATCTAGCGGCTAGAACCCATTAAATCATTATTATGTACAAGTTTATAATATATACAAAGTAACCGTAGATATATGTACAAGAATATCTAAAATAAATAATGGACATGTCAATTTAATTGAACGCATCGAACAGTAAGAGATAAGGTCATGTCGCGTCTGACGGAAATGACATTTGATAACCGCGGAGATTACAGGCATTTGTCGTACTTGCGTCCGCCCCACATTCCACTACCACCGCCTCGACGCCTGTCGTCAAATATATCCGGCCAATTTTAAGAGTGGGTACGTGTCTATCTGTCAAACAGATAATAGAAGAGACTATTCCGAGCCAAAGCGAAAACGAAAAACGGCCGCCATCTGATAGCCTTCGAAATTGACACACTAACTGTAATAACATTATGACATACAATGATAATAATATAATGATAATTACTTCACTTTATACAAATATAGCAGCGAGTTTTAAGAGTTCCTATAACGGCCGCGCAATCGCGGATCAGATTGACATTTCACAAAATGACTAGGTGCGCCCCGACGCGTGCGCAGGTCTCGCTAATACTGCAGCCGAACCTCACTTAACCTTACAAAATAATCAACCAAACGTTTAGTGCTCAACGGAGCGAAGAGTATTTTAATCCAATTCCGATTTACTTAAAAAGAAACAACGATACCTTCTACGTAAACGAACAAAACTTGAATCATGTCCAGGCCAAACATCGACAAACGTAACGGAACTCGAGCCACTCAAGAATAGCTTCAAGGAAATTAAATGATTATTAAATATGCGCAGTAGGCAATTAATATATTTTAAGTATATGTGCTATCTGTACATAGAGCGATACGCGTTAAATATTTCAAACTACATTTTACAGTCAGTAATGCACTACACAAAATGTCATGATCATTATTATATTGTATACATAGTAATTATGAAATACTTGTACAGTATATAAAGAATCACATAAATAAATGCCAAGTTCACTATGGTTCAGGACCTAAAGGTAACTAAGAAAATGGCATCTGAAAAGTTCTCGAACAAAAAATCGATTAAACCAATTCGTCGCACGAGAAACGCTTCAGATCAATAACTATTTTAACGACATTAAAATTTCTGCGACAATGATCATAAAATCACGAAATGGGATATGTACCATATTCAGAATATTGTATAGCTCAGATAAAAACTTAAAAAACTTCCGAGATCTTAGTTTTATTCCTGCAACCTCATTACGCTGAATACAATCCATAAAACCTTCGCCCCTCGGTAGGAGAAAGCCCGATCCGAATCACCGATCAGTATACTATTAATATAAGACTATTTACAATTGTATGTACAAGTGTTCCGATCGCGGTGGGCACCGGGCCTCGAGCCGCTCCCGTGTGTGCGCTGAGCGCTTGTCGGCGGCGGGCTGCCGCACGACACTCCTCCCCTGGTCATTCACAGTGAGAGGGACAAGAGATAAAGTCTACGCGGCGGCATGTCGTCCTAGGTTTCCCTTTCTTTCTTAGGTTTGAATTCCTCTCCTAAGATTGTTGCGATCTCGCCCTGCATGAAAGCCCAGGGGACGGTTGAATTCGCCAACGGGCACTTTTCGCCACTTGGACAGTAAACCTGCAATAGAAATTCGATTTTATACCCCATCCAATTTATTTCTTCATATAGCACATATTTTAAGCATTTACGTTTTATTTGAAATAATAGGTATTTTAACTAACCTCAGATCCTTGCTGTCTCTTGATTGAATCCCGGGAGCACGGGAAACAGAACTTGTGATGTTGTTGACTCGGACATTGAACGAAATGCGTATCCTCGAGGCGTTCTTGGCAGAGCGTACACTTTAGCAACGGCGCTGGAGCGGGAGCTGCCGCATCTGTTCCCTCACTGGCCTCCGTGGACGATACGGACGTTGTAGAAGACACGTGTCGCGAGCCCGACGACCGCCGCCCGCCGTTCGACCCTGTCGGACCGGATAAATCAGATTAGCTACTGTCTGCATAACACAAATACTATTTATAAAACCAACTACAAGCAATCAAGATGTGCAGACCGTAGCTGTTGAGTATGGGCATAAGCGGTCGTCGGGCGCCGCGCCCGATTGCGAATCGCAGCGATCGGACGCCCGCCCGAGTCCGACCCAATATACGACTGCGAGAGTCCGCGAAAAATTCAAATTTAAAATTCTTTAAATCCTCTGGGAAGCAACCCCGATCAATAATTTATTTTCTTATTTCAACCATTAACGTTGCTTACCTGATGAATTGGGCGAATGTTGACTCGAGCGGCTAGCGGATCTTTGGGGTGGTGGCTGTGGCGGTGATCCTCCAGTAGAACGAGGGGATCCTGGAGGTAAAGTATCCGTCACTGACATAAGTGCAGCCATCGGCGAAGGACCTGCTCCAGCACCAGTCACCGGAGGGGAACCAGCTGTACGGCCCAATGGGGACCCAGCTGAACCATTTGTTAGAGGGGCACTACCTCCATAACCTACAATATAAGAATTTAATATAAAAATGCTGATTAATGAAACAATAAATAAAATCATGATAAAATAAAGTTATGGCACTAGAAATATTGTGTTGAAATTAAAATCTATATTTATCAGTCAACAATTTTCCCTTAACATTATTAATTAATAAACGAAACATGTGTGTGACAAATAACAGTCGAACAATGAAAAGACATCGTTTAACGTTTTGAGTCGTGCGAACAAGCACACGCTCAATATTACATGACACATCGTTTGCGGTCGACCAGCAATAGTAAACATTCACACAAGCAAATAATATCACAATATGTATAAATAACATAGTGTATGTATAGGCTTACGTAGCGTCTGTGTGTAGCGCATGTGTCACCGCCTCTATTTTAATAGTACGTCCCTTCCCGCCAAATGTCGATTTTTCATTATAATACCTATGTAGTTGGAAATGTTTTAGGACGTACAATTCTTTACACATTTGTCAAATATCGAAGTTTTGTATCCAACTGCTTTTTGTTATTATATTATGTAGTAGATTTCGCATGTCTATCTAGTTGTTATTTATAAGTATTTTAAAAAAATATTTAACTTATTTATTTCAAGTAGATACGCAATCATTTTGCGGTTAATAGTACGATATACTATTATTGTTTTTGAAGAGGCTCAGACGATTATAGGTAAACGCGAGTTGAGGCGCGGTCCATATGGCGTTCGTGACGTCACGCACAGTGACCTTTTTGGCTGTCGGCTTGTGGCGCGCCGCGATCCCTACTCAGTACACACACGCCAACGGAATGTGGTCGAACAACTCTGCCAAGCGTAGGCAGGCGCTATATTTTTTCGCTGGCCTACCTACATACGTACGCAAGCGAAAATGTCGTCACGCGATGTTGCCGCACCGCACGATCGTGCTTGCATTCACGGCGCGAGCGCGTTTACATTACGTGGGTGTTTGTACATAATATACTCTTTGCTAGTGTGCAAGAGGCCACGACTGCTTGCTTTCGAGAACGCTCAACCAGTCGAACCAGTTTTGTATTTATGGAGTGAGTTAATGCACCTACCTAGATAATATGAATCCCTGTACCCTGAGCGAACATTTGCGAGAGATATGTTTTAACACATACACTTATTTTTTGCTGCTATTTTGTCTTGACTATTTACAGTATCTTAATATTTGGTAGTTTAATTCATGCACTTTATCATTAATACTCTAAAGAATTTATGTTATGACGTGAGTAAACGTCACTTTATTGTTATGTTGATGTATTGACCGAGGTATGAAAATAAAATGTAAATTGCATTATGAAGGAACAATTGTATATGTATGCCGGATTTATGATAATGATATATTTTATACTTAATATTAGTAAACCTATAAAAAATATCCCACGAAATCTTTGTTGGGAAATATTTTCTTTGTGAAATGTTAAAGTGCTAAATTATTTGTTAATGTAATTTTAAGGGTTGTAAAAGGCTCAATAAATAACGATTCACGAAATAAAACGTTAGAATAGATCGATGAAAATATTGAGAAAGACAAAATATTTCTGATGCCATTTATGAAATTAAAAAGTTGGTGAATCAACTTACCGTTACTTTTAAAAGCTGCGTCAAATGACGGAGTACGTAGTGGATGTTTTTCTTGTTTGAAAACACGGTCAGGTGCAAATGGAGCCGCCAGAGAAACTGCAGGCAGTGATTCCCCTCGAGTTAGAGGAGGGCGAGAGTGTTCCTCTAAAAGCCTTTTTGCTGGCTCGTGATGATTTTGATGATCATCATCATCTAACGGTCTTTTTAAAGTTAATCCAGGAGCAAGTCGAGCTCCACCATGAGATGGTAAATGAGCTAGAGGTAGATGTGCAAGCCTTCTGCCTTCATGTTCTTCTCTTCGACCGCCGTACTCTGCTAGTAAACCAGCGTTAGTAGTTGGCCGCGAATGATGCAATGCAAATCCAGCAGTTGGTGCATGATGTGCAGGAGGAGCTGGTTGACCTCTTGTACCGGATTCTCCACCATTTTGATGAGCCTCTAATGGCGCACGGTGGCCACCTTTGGCATGTGAGGGCCCACGGCCTTCTTGAAAACCATGAGCACGTTTGAGTTGTCGTGCTGTATCAAGCACTACTTCTATTCTATCAGCACCTTCGTAGTTTACACATCCTCGACATACTGGTTCCGAAAACTCATGCAGCATCGCCCAAGGCATGCGAGGTAAATCGCATAAATAGCAATGCTGCCGCTTTTGCATCACCGACATTTTGATGTCTGGTGTTGATTGTGGTCGGCGATATTCACTTTTTGAAAAAATTGTCACTTATTTATTTGTTGAATTAAGAAACACTGTCACCATGGTACACGGGAGCACTATTATCACATGTAACGCAGTTGCGCGGAAACGTTCAAAAGCACTCGCTTCGTTCGATGGCTGACGAGAGACTGAGCTGGGTCGGCCGCGAAGGTGTGCGGGGTCGGGGCGGTAGCGGCCATTATCGAGCGGTGACGTCAGCGCGCGCACCGCGACGCGCCGAGGACGAGCCGTTAGCCCGACGCGGATGCACCCCCCGCACCCCAACCCACATATTGCCTTCAACGCTATCGCACGATAATGAACACGGTACTTCCAGCGTACTCTGCTAACTAAACTTCTAATACATGGTGTATCAAGTCAGAGTTTTTACGGACAAATATATCTACGATAAATAGTACATTGTTGTGGCCAACTATTAGGCAAAGCGATTCGTCAAACTGATGACATTGTAAAAGAATACAACGATTGGAGAATATGCTAGCTAGCTAATACGACATAAACATATACATATATTTCTGTACCTAAACAATAAGTAGGTAAATTTTCTAAAAGACAAACCTTTCATGTTAGTGTAGGTCAATCCGAAATCTAAAAAAATAAATGTAGCCCTAAAGCCTCTCAGGCCTGGGCTTAAGATTTCTGTGTCTATTTTGTGATCATTTGTATTTTGTAATTGGCAAGCAGCTCGCCGTCGACTTTTTTTTAGTCTTTCTAAGGCATGCAGGTTTCCTCACGATGTTTTCCTTCACCGTATGAGCGAGTATTAAATGCCGCCGTGAATCGAACCTACGGCCTCAGCGATGAGAGTCGCACGCTGAGGCCGTCGACAGCAATAGGTCAACACTGCTCTTACTTGCATCTGAAATCTAGCGTAAGTATCTTTTCATCTATATATTCAGAAAGAAAATATTAGGTAGTAGTACTGAGCAGAACGCAACAAATCACGACTTAAAGCCCATTGCCGTCAACTCGTTGCAAATAGCTATAGATTCCTAACAGAACTCATATTATTCAACGAAAGTAAACAGCTGCCGCTCTAGAATAACAATTAACGCTAACACGTATAACCGACGTGCTCGATGCATTAAATTTCAATCTATTCTCACTCGGTTTCCTTTCGGAGTTCGGACGGCTGCATTCTAAATTATTATTATTATTATGGAGTAACGCGGTCGGATCCGGCTGGAGGACGGGAGTGGGGTAACACAACCGGTACAGCGGCCATCTTGAGACGTGACGTCACGTGACGAGTCAGCCAGCGCGGTGCGGCAACGTCTCTCGCGCCGCTTACCATGTTTCCTCTTTATTTTTGTTGTACTTTTAATAATAATTCAGTCTCTTTGATTTTTTGCGTATTCTGGTCGTAGAACAGTTATGCGGGCAGGTAATGGGCGGATTATTGTCAGAAGTTACAGAGAATTCTTTACGAGATTTTTAGTTGGTATGATTTCGGAAATCAGTATTAAATAATAATTGTTTACGATAAACTTATTTATTATGTATTTAATACATTATTTATATTGCTTTGAATACTTTTGTAGATTATCAACTAATTTTATTTGTCTAATAAATTAATGATTAAATTATACCTAAAGGTTAAAGTAATATATAGTGTTAGGACACTTTTTAAATTTAAATACAGATGCATAAAACGAATTTAGTTAAACGAAAGATAGGCAGGTAAAAACACATTCGATCAAAGATTGCAGTATAACTGTTAATTTAGTACTGAAACGGTAAAAATAACGTTATCAGGTAGATTCAATCTCAACGGATTGGGAGTCCAGTCAAATCCGATTACACCTTTGTTCGTGATGATGTAAAGGGAAGATTCAATTACCTGATTGCAATTTTACACCAGACAGATTTATAGAAATTAACATAGATTTATATCGTTAGAGAGGCCCTTGCCGCAGTGAGACCGCGCCGTGTTGTTTCACAGTCGAAGTGAGTGAGCTCACTGACCTGGGATCAGTGCACCCCTAAACACAGTGTTAGCCGGACGCGTTGTAAAGGACGTTTGCGAGCAGTTTAGTGTCACAAAATGCCATCGTGTGTCTTTCGAAAGTGCAACAACAATTCTAGAAACACAAATAAAGCCAGAGGTGTAACATTTCACTCGTAAGTATTGCGATTTGATTTAAAAACTTTTATTTTTCCTTCCGCACTGTCTAAAATAACAAATTTAAATGGCGAGTGCACGAAAGAGAAAGTAGTGTTTGCAACTAATGTAGGAGAAAAAGAGATGACACTATTTTCTCAGTACACTTGTTGTGTATAGATTGCACAGGTGTTGCCAGATCCGATTTTCGAAAAACAGGAAGAATTGCAGAAAAAAACATTAGGTAGATAGTATTGTCTTTGATTAACATAACTTTTATTCATTTAATAAAACACTATTTTGACCGGATTGAAGTTATGTATTATTATAAATTTACAACTATTTAACATAATTTTAAATTTATCCGACGTTTCGCGTGCTTTACAGCGTGCGTGGTCACGGTGATAATAATACATAACTTCAATCCGGTCAAAATAGTGTTTTATTACATTAGGTAGATGTATCGAAAAAGTTGCAGGGAAAAACAGGAGATTATAAAAACTGAATATTAATTATTTACATATTTTAAACTACATGTTGTTTTTAATTATCATTTCTTTTTTATTTATAGCTCGCATGAATTTGTTTGTTTTAAAGGTTTTTGTTAAGCAATATATCTGAAATGACATCAGCGGAGAGCTTATTTCGTAATTTAGTTTTGAACAAATTTATTTGAGAAAACAATCTCTCCACCTATGCACTAGAGTGCGGTAAAACCAGATTAAAAACAAATGCTGTTAAATCAGGAAACATTTTGTTCTCATCTCCGCAGCCCATGTCAGTGATGATTTTCCAAAACGATTCAACTGATTCGTTTCGGTCCGCATTCAGAGGTGTGTTTCGGGGTAAGCACCGGGACTCCGCATAAACTTTTTGAAAATCATTGGGAGGCACAATGTTATGAAATCGTCCCATTTATTTTTCGATCCAGTAGCTATTTAGGGTCGATGAATTTCATTTTTTCCAGCATCGCTATATTTCTTTCGAAAGGGCATCGCTGCAGCAATTGTTTCACCGATTCAATATAAATTTCCATACATTGCAACTTGAATTTCTTCACACTTTCAGGATCAATCGTATTGTTGAAGTTGAAAGATCTTTATTTGTAAAAAATAAGGTATTATTATCTATTACGTAATATTTAAATTCTCAATGGCGGAAAGGCACAAGTTGGTTTTTTTCGTCCCATTTCACGAAATTACTTTATTTACAACAAAAAAACAGGAGATTCATGTAGAAAAACAGAAGAACAGGAGACATTTGAGAAAAACAGGAAATCTTCTGTTAAATCAAACAGTGCAATACAAATAAGAGATCTGGCAACACTGAGATTGCACACGTTTTAGACAGTTCGGTAGCGTCAGCAGATTCAACAGCCATGTTGTTGATTATGGATGCTGGACCATTTCATTTTTTAATTTTATTGTCTTCTTAATATTTTAGTAGGTAGGCGTATTAAATACAGGGTGCCACGAAACATGTTTACATTTGTTATAAAATTGTTTCAAATAAATTTTGCGACAAATTTTGAATTTTTTTTTATGCGCTCGACAGTTTTTGAGATAGAGTGCGTTTAACTTAATGATAAAATACTTTATTATGGTATTACTCATAAAGCTATAAGTAAAAATGGGTACATAAATTGTATTTTTTTTTTAGATTTCCCCAAGACCCACGGTTTAAGGAAAAATGGATAAAAATTATACAAGTAGACAAAAGAGATGAAGAGTGGCTACCTACAAAATTCAGCAAAGTTTGCTCAGCACATTTCGAGGCAAATCATTTGTATGTGACGCCACTGGGTCTTCGTAAATTAGAACCTGATGCCATACCAGCTTTTCGGTATGTATGTATCTATGTAATCTGATTAATGAGTTTGCGGACCGTACCTTCTACACAAATTGCACTGTTTTTGGACGCCATGTTGACGCACACATTCAAACGTTTTCTATTTCAACCTGAAAAAAGTATTTTCAGGGCATCTAAGGGCAAACTTTTTTCAGAAAAGTGTGTGCAATACAATTGCCCACGAAATGGTATTAACAACAGATAAGTACAATGGCAGAAACACGATTTTTTAACTACTCGTTAGTGTGCGTGTGTCGGCATTTTGTTAACGCACACATTCAAAAACAATGCCACAGTTTTTGGTGTCGGGGCCTATCTAACGATATAAATCTATGGAAATTAACACTAAAAGTATTTACTTGATTAAAAAATAGAGTAAAACTGCGCATTTTAGCATTTTAAGCTAAATTTAAGGAAATTTAGTATAAAAACAACTGGGCGAGTTAAAATGATCAAGATAACAAATTACCGTATTTTTTGTTTGACAATGTGTGTAATGCGACGCCAGGTTAACCCTCTTTGGGAAGAGATAATATATTTCGATGATACAATTACATATAATTGCATAGATATCAGCAAAAAGTTACTATAACCATTGTATGTCTGTAAGTCCACGGTATAAAAGAGGAAAAATGATGGAGGATGAGGACTATTAGAATAATAGGAATGCCTTCACTACGTCAGAGGTTGTGTACTAATGCTAAACATGAACTTAATCTTGATTATGTAGTACTCCAATAAAGGCTACTTTTATTTTTTATAAGTCGCACGTATTAGCTTACAAATATAAAAGTCACCTAATTTCCATTGTGTAGAAATCAGAACAACCCTCATTTTGACATTAGACTTTGTCGTTGAGCGCTATGGACTAGCATATATCAAAAACATTGGATATTAACACTGGAGATATATTTTGCGCCAAGTTGTAATCGGTCCAAAACAAAAGTGCAAATGGTTAATTAAAAAATCCATGTCTACTCGGTAACAGCGCATGCGTGTT